GAAATATGAGAGTAGATGGAATCTTGGTCAGCTGAGGTAGTTCACACCTATAATCCCAGCACTTTGGGAGGCCAAGACAAGAGGACACCTTAAGCCCTGGAGTTTAAGACCAGCTTGGGCAAGATGGTGAGACTCCCACTCTATTAAAAAAAAAAGAAAAGAAAGTAGATGGGATTTCATTGGATTATTAAAGGAAAGAGAGAAAAAAAAAAAGAGTAGATGAGAGACTCATAGCAAGGCTGAATTGCTGCTGTTTAACTGAACCACCAAATCAGCACTACTTCTGATTTACCGGGCCTAGCGCGTGCCAATAAACAGTAGAATCTCAATAAATGTTTTCTAAAAGTAAAATTTTTTTTTTTTTTTTTTTGAGACAAAGTCTTGCTTCGTCGCCCAAGCCAGAGTGCACTGGTGAGATCTCAGCCCACTGCAACCTCTGCCTCCTAGGTTCAAACGATTATCTGGCCTCAGCCTCCCAAGTAACTGGCATTACAGGTGCCCGCTATCATGCCTGGCTAGTTTTTGTATTTTTAGAAGAGACGGGGTTTCATCATGTTGGCCAGGCTGGTCTCGAACTCCTGACCTCAAGCAATCAGCCCGCCTCAGCCTCCCAAAGTTCTGGGATTACAGGTGTGAGCCACCATGCCCGGCCAAAGGTAATTTTTTTTAAAAGTAAAGTCCACAGTAATAGGCTTGGTTTCACAGACTGGGATTAGAGTGAGTGACTTGAGGAAGTAACTGTGGCATGTAGAGAGACAAAGGTAGGGAAGGTTGTGTCATTAATGTACTTCAAGTGTCACTAAAAATATGTCAGGGCTGCCTGAGTTAACAATGTCTGAGCTGAGATGTGAGGTCTGGTTCTGCAAACTTAGCCTTCCCCAGATCGACCCCAACTAGATCAAGTTCCGAGCAGTCCTCTGACTTCTCAGGAAGAAAGAAGAGAAAAAAAATAGAATAGAAGCAAAGAAAAGAAGGGCAAGGGGGAAAAGAGAAGGGGGAGGGATTGAATTTTAAACACTTACCTCCCCACATAAGTCTCCATCTTTATTATCTCAGGTGCATACTCTAAAATTCCTTTACTCCTAAGAACAAGAAACTTTTCCTTGGGAATGCTAAAGGCTTTTTGTTAATTGCTTTAAAATAGAGGAATGTAGTAAGACACATAATATAGGACTACATATTAACAACGATCCCTAGCATAATCAAGTCTCAAGATCTTAGATGAGGACAAGAGGATTTCACATATATTTAATGGGGTCAGCCACTTACAGAAGCCTCCTCTATGAAATAAGTTGTTTCAGGGGTCCCCCAGACTACTCACATATATTTTGTACTCATGGCAAAGTTTTTTTACAGTGAATGGATATCAGCAATGGGAAAAGACCTCAAGCATCACTAAAATCATGTCAGGGCTGCCTGTAGGAACCCACGCACAGGTTTCCTTATGTCCTCACCCTCCTGTGAGGATATACATCAAGTTTGCTCCTTGCTACAGCAGCAAAAATGCAATGCATGTATGCAAAGTTTGTGACCAGGAAAGTCCATTAGAGACTCAGTACCCTACATTAGTCTAGTAATCAGATTCCCAGAAGGAAATCAAGTATTCGACATAAATCATACGGTTTGTAAAAAGGATCTAGGCATAGTGAACCATCTTTATCATAGTTACAGAATTGAGGGAAGCATTCAAGTGCCCAACATAAAGAGGCTCTAGTAGACCCAGAGCTGCTCTATTCCCTCTTCTCCACAGAAGTAATTGGTAATGACCAGGTACAGCAACTCATGCCTGTAATCCCAGAACTTTGGGAGACCAATATGGGCGGATCACTTGAGGTCAGGAGTTCAAGACTAGCCTGGCCAATATAGTGAAACCCTGTCTTTACTAAAAATACTAAAAAATTAGCCAGATGTGGTGGCATGTGCCTGTAGTCCCAGCTACTTGGGAGGCTAAGGCAGAAGAATAGCTTGAACCCGGGAGGCAGACATTGCAGTGAGCTGAGATCTGGCCACTGCACTCCAGCCTGGGCAACAGAGTGAGACTCTGTCTCAAAAAAAAAAAAAAAAAAAAAAAAAAGTGACTGATAAATGTTGTCCATGAGACTGAAGTATTTCCCAAAGTAAGTGGCATTAGGGAGCTGCCAACCTGCAGCTGTGGCTGTGTTCCCTGTAAAATACAATTTTTTTTTTTTTAGATGGAGTTTCACTCTTATTGCCCAGGCTGGAGTGCAATGGCACAATCTCAGCTCACTGCAACCTCTGCCTCTCTGGTTAGAGCAATTCTCCTGCCTCAGCCTCCCAAGCAGCTGAGATTACAGGCAAGCGCCACCACACCTGGTTAATTTTTGTTTTGTTTTGTTTGAGACACAGTCTCGCTCTCTCAGCTCACTGCAGCCTCCGCCTCCTGGGTTCAAGCGATTCTCCTGCCTCAGCCTCCCAAGTAGCAGGGACTACAGGTATGCGTCACCATGCCCGGCTAATTTTTTTTGTACTTTTAGTAGAGACCAGGTTTCAGCATGTTGGTCAGGCTGCTCTCGAACTCCTGACCTCATGATTCACCTGCCTCGGCCTCCCAAAGTGCTGGGATTACAGGCACGAGCCACCGCACTTGGCCATAAAATATAATTTTTTGGTGGCTCGTGCCTGTAATCCCAGCACTTTGGGAGGCCGAGGCAGGTGAATCATGAGGTCAGGAGTTCGAGAGCAGCCTGACCAACATGCTGAAACCTGGTCTCTACTAAAAGTACAAAAAAAATTAGCCGGGCATGGTGACGCATACCTGTAGTCCCTGCTACTTGGGAGGCTGAGGCAGGAGAATCGCTTGAACCCAGGAGGCGGAGGCTGCAGTGAGCTGAGATCACACCACTGCACTCCAGCTAGGGAGACAGAACGAGACTCCATCAAAGAAAAAAATATATAAATATATATATATAATCTTCAAAACTGAAGCAGGTATTACAAGATACAAAGCTAAGAATGTTGCAATTACAGAATGTTCTCATGACTAGTGATCATGGCTAAAGAAGGCAAATTAAGCTCAAGGTGCCCTTTTCAGAGTAACTGAGTGGAAAGGGTGCTACCACTGCTGGAGCTGCAGGACCAGCTTCTTAAAGACCATCCAATTCTCTACATTCTCTTCTCCCAGAATCCAACTATCAGACCTAAGATATACTTGTTGGCTCTCCGAAGAAGAGAATGTGCTGACTAGCTAGCATGAGTTTGAGTTAATAAACAGCACTATGCTCCATTAGTCAGGCTATCTAATGATAATGGTGATCATACTTTAGGTACCCATGTGCCTTTTTGTTGATCTTCACAATACTATGAAGTACTATCCTGTTTTTGACAGGAGATGATAGCAAAGTATCAGAGAAGGGAACTGACCTGTCTAGAGTCACCCTAGTGCAAGCAAGTGATACAGGATTTAAATTAAGAGGTCCTATTTTCCAAATCCCTGTCCTTTCCATTGCATTGTACTCCCTCTTAAGCTAGAAGTCAGGTTAGCACCAATCTGCCAGGACCCGCTTACCCTGAAAGTGTGTGATAAAATCAGGTTTGAGAACCAACAAAGCCAAGGACCAGGTCACTCTGCCAAAAGTGCCTAAAACAGCCTTTCAGCTTCACGCATCAGCAGAGAGCCACAAAACTATTCCCAAATGCAGCAGGCTGGTCTCCAGTCACCACTGTCTTTGTATCTTTTCGGAAAACATCCTCCTTCTTTCTGCCAAAAAGTTGAGTGGGAAAGTAATTCCATCCCTTCAGGGCTAAACACTGTGCTGAATCTCACCGCACACTGGTGAGTGAAGAAAGCTGACATTTACTGCTCACCCACTGTGTGCCTAGCCCTATGCAAGACGCTTTATGCTAGAACTCATTTAATTCTCAAGAGCAACCTCTTTTTACAGGAAAGGATACAGAGGCTCTAAGAGTAAAAAGTAATTTGCCTAAGAGGATACGGTAAGTGCCAGTGCAGAGAACAAATTTAAATCTGACTAAAATCTGTGCTCTTTCCAGATCTCAAGGCACACCATTGAGTTGCCTTTCACCTTTCTCCCAAGATGAGGTTTGCTCTGTCACGACTTCACCTTTCTCTTCTGAAGCAATCCCGAGTTCACTTCTCTGCCCACTGACAGTTCACTCTCCCTTCCCTGCCACTGTCCCTTCTGCCAACCCACAATCTTTTACCCAATCTAACGCCCCCAGCCTCGTAGAATAACACTACGCAATTGGTTTACAGTCAGAAATAACTTTCAGCAGTGTTTCGTCTCCTGGCCACCACAATCAGGTGAAGCCGGTAAAGCAAGTAAAAGCATCCCCATTTTACAAGAAAGGCATCTTCCCAAGCTCGCGTAATAAAAAACAGGTGAAATCCGGGGCGGAGCCCCACGTCTTGACCCCTGGTCCTCTGCTCATCCCACTGCTCCTCACTGATGTCTGCGACCCAGCCTCCACCCCCGCGATGTCACAAGATGCTCGGTGGGCCAGCAGCTCACGTCCCCCGCTCGCCCACGACCACCCACCCGCAGCGGCGGCGAAGGCCCCGCCGACCCCTCCCCCACGACCCTTACCTTTTTACCAGCCCCTCCCTCTGGAGTCTCCTTCCGCTGCCAGATCCAAACCCTCAGGCGCCCCCTCCCGCACACACTGCCCGCGATTCCCGTCTCGGCCTCCCGTAGACCCTCATCCCGCCTCCCCGCTTCGCCGCCGCGGCCCCTCCTGTCAGTCCGCGGCCGAGCCCGCCGACGTTACCTTCTCCAACGATGCTGGTCTCTGCACCGCCAAGGAGCGGGCCAGGGACAGGACCGTGTTGAAATAGAAACCTCGCGAGGCGCTGGAGCCGGAGCCGCCGCCGCCGCCGCCTCCCCGGGCCGCGGCCGCCGCCATCACCTCACGCGCCGCGGCGCTGCCCGCCGGCTCCCAGCTCCCGGCCCGCGAGCACCCGACCTCAGGGCGCAGGCGCAGCGGCATCCGGCTTTCCCGCCACGTGACCTCTCAGTTGCCGACACTATGTAGGGCGTGGCTGCGGGGCGGGCCCACCGCTGCAGGGGAGAGAGGGGATGGGCAGTAGGCTGCGGTTGCACGCGCCGGACGTGGGTCCCCCCAGCCGACCTGCGAGATGGTCGGCTCCGAGGGCGGGGCCATCTGCGCGCTAAGCGCGGAAGGAGTTCGCGCGGCGACTGCGGGTCGGCGGGCGGGGCTACGCCCTGGACGACGGTGGCGACGCTGCTCCTTCTCCTTCCCAGACGGTGAGCCGCGTCGGCACCATGTCGGCCTACCCTAAAAGCTACAATCCGTTCGATGATGACGGGGAGGACGAAGGCGCCCGGCCAGCCCCGTGGAGGGACGCCCGGGACCTCCCCGACGAGCCCGACGAGTCCGCGGACAGGCAACAGTACCTGAGGCAGGAGGTGCTGCGCAGGGCTGAGGCCACGGCCGCCAGCACCAGCAGGTCCCTGACCCTCATGTACGAGTCCGAGAAGGTTGGGGTCGCCTCTTCCGAGGTGAGCCTGGGGCAGGGCTGGTGTGGACACTCTGGTCTCTGCGTTGTCAGACGGAGATGAGAAATGTTTTGCTCACGATCTTTTGAGAATTCTCGAGTTGCCTGGCATAGATTCTTGCACCTTAGTGACTCAACGGCGTGTAACAATCTGTTAACTATGTAAAGGAATGTGCATCTGGAGTAATTGAAGAGGGCAGTTTACCCCAGAAATCTTCCTTAGCTATTAATCTACTCGGTTGATTTTTTTTCTTACGCCTAGTTCACAGGTAAACTCCAGATTATTTTCTGCCCAGGTGAGTAAAAATTCTGAACAGCAGGGCCTCGGTAATGGAAATGGAGAGTCCATTTCTTCGACATTATTTCCTGGGCAAAAGTCCTGTACGAGGTTTGTGGCCGTTCCTCCGGGAGTGAGCCAGTAAGAGAGGACTCTATGCCTGCAAGTGTCAGGTGATACCTTGAAGAATCGAGGCAAGTGGTCCACAAGTTCTTCGCGCATCACTGACCACATCTTCACCTAACCAGTAGAGGTATTGAAGTCCCGTTTACCCAGACAGCTGTGGAGTTGGCCAAAACCTGAATTTGGTTGAGTCCATGGCCTTACCTTTACGTCCCAAATACTAGTCACATGGTGTGTGGGTTAAGAGTCTATTGCTGCAACTCATCTTAATCAGTTCTTTTCAGCTTTAGATTTCAGAGAGTAGTACCTTCAATGACAATTATTCTTTTTTTTTTTTTTTTTTCCTTTTGAGATAGTGTCTCCGTCTATCACCCAGGCTGGAGTGCAGTGGTGCGATGTCAGCTCACTGCAACCTCCGCCTCTCGGATTCAAACAATTCTTCTACCTCAGCCTCCCAAGTAGCTGGGACTACAGGCAGGCATCACCACACCTGGCTAAATTTTTTTGTATATTTGGTGGAAGTGGGGTTTCTCCATGTTGAACAGGCTGGCCTCGAACTCCTGACCTCATGTGATCCGCCTGCCTCAGCCTCCCAAAATGCTGAGATTATAGGCGTGAGCCGAAAATTATTCTTTATTTACACACCACATTCTCTCTTCAGCCTACTAATGAAACAGTTTTGTTTGGGCAAAGGAAAAAAAAAGGTTTAAAAATATGTAGTAAGCCAGGCACGGTTGCACTTCTGCAATCCCAACAATTTGTGAGGCTGAGGTAGGCAGATCATTCGAGTCCAGGGGTTCAAGACCAGCAAACGAAACTCCATCTCTACAAAATTTAAAAATTGGCCAGGCATGAAGGTACCCGTCTGTGGTTGCAGCTACTCAGGAGGCTGAAGCATAGGATTGCTTGAGCACAGGATGTCAGGCCTGCAGTGAGCCATGTTCATGCCACTGCACTCCAGCTTGGGTGACCGAGCGAGACCCTATCATTTTCCCTTGCTCTTTTCTTGGGTTACTTCCCTTTCCCACCTCTCTCTGTTAATGTATCCCTCATTGATTCACCGCCCTGTGTTTACTGTTTAACCATTGTTGGTTTTTTGGTTTGTTTGTTTTTTTTTTTTTTTGAGATGGAGTTTCACTCTTGTTGCCCAGGTTGGAGTGCAGTGGCATGATCTCAGTGCGCTGCAACCTCTGCCTGCCAGGTTCAAGTGATTCTCCTGCCTCAGCCTCCCGAGTAGCTGGGGTCTGCCACGATACCCAGCTAATTTTTTGTATTTTTAGTAGAGATGGGGTTTAACCATGTTGGCCAGGCTGGTCTTGAACTCCTGACCTCAGGTGATTCATCCGCCTTGGCCTCCCAAAGTGTTGGGATTACAGGCATGAGCCACTGTGCCTGGCCCTTTTTTTTTTTTTTTTTTAAGACAAAGTCTCACTCTGTTGCCCAGGCTGAAGTGCAGTGTCATGATCTTGGCTCGCTGCAACCTCCACCTCCCTGGTTCAAGCTATTCTCCTGCCTCAACCTCCCGAGTAGCTGGGATGACAGGTACCTGCCACCATGCCTGGCTAATTTTTGTATTTTTAGTAGAGATGGGGTTTCGCCATGTTAGCCAGGCTGGTTTCAAACTCCTGACCTCAGGTGATCCATTCACCCATCTCAGCTTCCCAAAGTGCTGGGATTACAGACGTGAGCCACCGCACCTGGTCCTAACCTTGTTGAGGAGATTTTGCTTGGAGTTCTTAAATCTTATACCTACTGGATTTCTATGTTCCATTTTAAATGGGAAGTCCTGACTTAGATTTTGGAGGGTTGCCTGAGATTTTAGGGTCTTGGTGAATGGGTCATATGACTAAGGATCACAAGCCCAAGCAAGTCAACTAAGAACTATTTGAGGAGACATCTTTGTAAACCAAGAACGAATGAACTAGGAAATCAGAATGATTCAAAGTAGGGCATCGTGGCGGAGGATGAACTTGAATCTAGCTTTTATGGCTAAGGTTTACACAAGAGGAGTGAGAATGAGGGATGTTCTTAGGGAATATGGGTGAATATACAAACACACTGACCCAGCAGCAGAGCTCCTGGGTGCAGAGGAGGCAAGTGATGAACTGGGTGTGTTAAAGGATAGGTGGTAGAGGAGGTAGCTTAGAAGCCCTTGGAGTTCAGAGGGAAATTTCTGGTCACATAACTCAGGAGAGGCAAAAACATAATAGGTGAGAGTTGTTTGATATAGATTGTGGTGCCATGCCCCATGCTACCCCTAAAGGTCTTTCTATGCAGTGAGGACTGTGAGAGCAGAGGCAGAATGGCACCTCAGGCATATCAGGCTTGGCCAAGCCAGGCATTGCTGTGAGAGGTACAGTGTGGTCGTGACTGGGCAGGTGACAGGTGCTTGTCATTGAGACGACCCGTTGGAATTCTCCAGGATTGGATCAGTTCTCAGTTATGAGAGGCCCTGGGAGTCAGGAATGACCTGCATCCCCACCCCACCTGGTGGTTTTTTGTCTTTTGATTTGGGGGAGGTTTTTTGAGATGGGGTCCCACTCTGTTACCCAGGGTAGAGTGCAGTGGTGCGATATTGTTTCACTGCAGCCTCTGTCTCCAAGTTCAAGTGATCCTCCTGCCTCAGCCTCCCAAGTAGCTGGGACCACAGGTGCACGCCACCATACTTAACTAATTTTTGGTATTTTTGATTGAGAGGAGGTTTGCCATGTTGCCCAGGCTAGTCTCGAACTCTTAAACTCAAATAATCTGTGTACCTCCGCCTCCCAGTGCTGGATTACAGGCCTCCAAGCTGTCTGGCCTCCAGGCTGTCTTTGAATCTCTCTAATCACTCTTTCATTCTCTTTGGTGTTGGGATGCGGACAGGAGAGTATGAGCTCTTCCAGCCCTCAGTGCACAAAGTGGTTTGCAGCAGATTCCAGTGTACTCTGCTAACCACCCCACTTAGACGGGGGCCTCCTGGGTACCCAGCACTGTGAAACATGCCAACACAGGACAGATTTATGTCAAAGATGAGGACTTTACAAATAGTATTAGGTTTGGAAGATCATAATTCGGTCCCAGCTTGGCAGGAAAATGACTTAGTTAAGTCACCTCTAGCGAAGAGAACTGCCCTTCTCCTACTGTGAAACCTGGCAAGGTTTGTTTCTAACAAAGGCTCAGGCCACAGGCTATGACCACAAAAGAACAGAGGAGAAGTAGTCTGAGCAGGGCAGGTCCCACCAGGCTGACCTGGTAGGTGCTTTATAGAACTACAGGGAGACCTGTAAGCCACTCATCTCTTTCTCTATTTGGTGAGCATGATTTCTCCTTTTATTTTCCTAAGGTTTGATTGTTATGAAGAGATGTTCTAATCACATGGTTTAAACTTCAAAAAATACAAAATGGGGTAGTCTTTCCCCACTTTCCTCACTGTCTTCCCTCTACCCCTAAGGCAGCCAGTCACCTTCCCTCCTTCAGTGTCTTCGGCAGATAACGTTGTGGATAAAGTCAGGGTTTTTTTTTTTTTAAGTGTTCTATACATTCTGGTCTGCATGTGCTTAATTGGATGGAGGTTGTTCCACACTAATATGTAATGAGCTGGCTTTCTTAATGGCTGTGTTGTATTCCTTTGAACAAATGACTTCTATTTATGCAGCCAGTCCCCTAATGATAGGAACTAGGGGACTGGCTGCATAAATAGAAGTGAGTATATGCTCACTTCTATTTATAAGAGAATGTGGGTATATGCTGGAAAGAGGTCTGGAATGTCCAAATCTAGTTCCTATACGAAATGTGTTTCTAAACTGCTGAATCAAAACACAGGTTCAACTCACTTCGTTGAACGGAGGCATTGAGGTTGTTTACATCTTTTGTTGAGTCTATTTGCATCCTACTTGGATACGGTTTTTGTACATTCTTACATTCTTTCACCACTCCAGTGGAGGAGACCCACCTGCCCTGGACCCTCCACTTCCCCTCTTATAGCTGAATTTACTCCATTGAAGTTTTCTGGGGCCTGAGAGCTCAATTCCGGGGAGTCCAGCAAGAAACAGTAGACTCGGGTTGAATGGCTGGCACAGTAACGTCAATGGAAAGGGGCAGAATTTGGCAGCGCTCAAACATGATGCACTCAGCAGCCACCGCCAGCACATCCTCTACACCATCTCATGCAGGGGCCCACCCATCTCTGTCCTTCCAGCTTACAACACACCCACACTGGGCATTCAGTTCAGAGGTGGGAGAGAGGAGGACACCCCTCCTATCCCAGGAGCAGAGGCCATCAAGGTCCCGGGAACTGAAAGTAAACACATTGCCACAATGTGGTATCCTCATTCTCAGGGATGCTGGTCTTGGAGCAGCCCACTCCAAATGAGGGGCCCTATGGACCAGAGCCACTCCTCTAAGGCAGTCTGTGGTGATGCTGGTGCAGCTGGAGTTCTTAGCAAAAGCTGACGGATGGGGACAGGCAGCTGCTAGATTAAGTAATTTCTCAAATTTGTAAATGTCAGCAGTGGAAGAGGAGCAGTCTCTTGCCCATCTCCTGCTCAATTTTCTACCCCCACGCTTCTCAGCACAATGTCCTTAAGCATAATTGGAGCTCCTAAAATAGTTACCAAATGAAT